TGGTCCAGAACTGTAGGTTCTGACATCCTGGGGTAACACAAATGATATTAACACTTAAAAGCAAATTGTCAAAATCTGTTAGACAAAATTCCTAACAAAGAAAGAAATTAAGAAACCACCACATAGCTGGTTTTGCTAGAATAATTTGAGAGTCTGGTGAGAGTTACTGTAAGATATTTTACACCTCTGAGTAAATGACAGAAAAAAGACACTTTTGGCAAGAGAACAAACTTTTTTAAAAATTATTTTTGCTAAAAATCCCATTTATGTGTGTAATTTTAGACAGTTTTATTAGTAGTACTGAACCTATATTATGGTAGCATGCAAAAGCCTTCACCTTCTCAAAACGAATTTAGAAGTTCATTTCTATTCCATGCTACAAAAACAAACAAATCAATTATTACCTCATGCCTGTTGTTCTTTTTATAAATTTAATTATGGATTAAAAATAAGAATCTTATAAAGTTCACTTTACCTGTAAATGCCTTGGGCTTTACAATCACTGAATCAGGTCCGCTGGAGAGTATCGGCCTTTTGATATTCACATCGCTTGGACAACAACAACAAAAAATTGTAAAATTTACAGGTAGCATTAATATCATTTTTTTCTTAATCCACTTCAAATAAGTGCATACGACTCACACTGAGAATTTTTCACTTTAAGTTTACTCTACTTCCTATAGCTGAATTCATTCTGCTCTAATTTCCTCAAGACCACTGCCACTATTCTGAATCAGAATTCAAAATTTCATCGCACTAGGACACAAATCTTGTGGGCGTTTTTACTGGCACAAACCTAGATGAAGCCATCGAGCTATCAGAGGCCTGCAAGAAGCTTTGGGGGATTTACCACAAAAATGGGAAGCTCCCAGCTTGTGCTACGTGTACCACTGCCAGGGGACAAACCACTGAAAGGGTCTGCTGATGCCACTTCTCCCAGCGTTGCCAGCTCTCTATAGGTGCTTACCACCTATACACACCTCTGATGAGATAGTTACATACCTCGGATGAGATAGTTACCACTTTCAGCTCCTGTAAACCCACAGCCCTCACCAATGCGACTCTCCGCGAGGCGCCCCCATGTTACCCAGCAGTGCAGGGGTGAAGTTTTTGTGTAAGTTTCATGGAGGGCTTAGTAGGCAGGAGGTGATTTACGCGTACCTGAAGACACTAACGAGATGACCATCCTTGAAGCTGAAGAAACCTCAGAAGTATTTGTTTGTGGACATCAATGAATTCTAATCATTTTGCATAGGACACATCTCACTCGTACAGCTGTGACACGCAGAGATTCGGTACTAGGCTCTTATTCTGTCTTTTGTTGCTGTTTTAAGGACAATCCTTGTACAATGTTTTTCTCTATTTGAGAAAGAAATGATTTTGGAATTTCTATAAGCCATTTCAGTCAAGGATCTCAGAGCTGAACAAAACAAGCAAAAAAAATTCCCACTCCCATTTGGAAACATCACCAATCAGTATCAGCCATATTTTACAAATGAACTGCCCAAGACACAGGAACTCAAAAGATCCACTTACAAAATTGATAAAGAACAGCCAAAAAACAATTCCACTGATATTTACTTCTGATTTCTGGTCTTCAGTTACAAATATACACACACGCACATTCCTAATTAAACTATTTGGAGCTGCTACTCTAAAATCTTTCCCAATTTAAGCCTCAAGTTCTGAAACGCTTTCCTTTAACAGCTTTTTGGTGAGCAAGGCAGTAGCCCACAACTCCAATTCTGACACTACGCAGCAGCTGACTTTGTCTAATTTCAGCTGAGGGCATATACAGAAGCGGTCCTATCACGCCTACCCATACACTAAGAGATGTATCTTATTAAAATGCTGAATGCAGATGACTGTGGAACTAATTCAGCTCGACACTATATAACATGCACAGATCATTTCCACTTGCACAGGTATCGCTCAGCAGTTTGTTGTGCCAGGTGTTTTCTTCCTAAGTGACTTAAAATTATTCCTAAGATTTGAAAATCACACTGAGCAACAAGGAACATGTTGCATTACACGTAAGATGACTTTTGGTGAGGATAAAAGCAATCGGTATTTTGTGTAAAAATAAGCCTAAAACCCAGACATTTTTTGGGTAGTTCAGACTTGGCCAAAAATACATCTCAAAGCATTGTTATTGCTATTTCAAGCGTAGGTGTGGAAACAGAAAATAAGGAAACAGTCCCCAAACTGCCACCAGGTTTAGACAGTATGCTCTTGGGAAATTTAGCAGGTGAACCAGGGTTGATTTCAAAGCACAAAGAGAGAACTACACTCCCAAGTTTCTTTAGTTTAAGATTACTGTGTTCTTGCACGGCTGAATAGAGGGAAGAGAATATTCACCAACTCACACCAAACACCTGCTCCTGCAGATACACACCTACCCCTAAGGCAATCTGTCACATTTCACCAATAACCTAGAGTTTGTCTTTAAAAAAAAATTAGTTAACTGAATATATGTAATTCAACAACACACGTACCTTTGGAAAAAGAGGCTTTCCTCGTGTGTCAGAAGACCTTTTTGATATCCACCCTTGGCATGGCTGATTCGGCTGGCACAGGACAGTTTTCGAGGCTTGTAACAGAACCACGGCTCACCCGTGTAGAGATCTGTGAAGTTACAGACCGGAAGATCTCCAGGCAAGCAAACATTGCACTCAGTAGTTTCTGAATACCTCCCAGACTTGAATGAGCTTTTGAAATAGACCCTGTCTGGCCTTTCTTCTCGTAAACGCAGGAGGACTTGGATAGCTTCACTCGGATGGACGAGTGACACAGAAACTTTGACCTCTCCTGGCCAGAGCAAGGTAAAAAAGACTTTGTAAAGGCCGTTATGGCAATCTACAACCCTTCCTATTGCTCCAGCTTTCAGCAGAGGAGAGTGAATTCGTGCCTGTAGATAGTCTCCACCATACCGCTTGGGTTTGCCTTGGTAATCCCTCATACGAACGAGCAGCTCTAGCTGATCACCCACCCTGAAGAACACACTGGGTTTCACAATCACGAAGTCACTACGTGCAGGATCAGTGCTTTGTACAAAGGCGATTTTGCCATCAGGGGGTTTTGGCCACTGTATTGCAGCAAGCAGCGATTCCTGTTCCGCTTGTTCTCTTTTGGACAAAGTCTGCTGCTTATAACCACAGTAAGGCCTCCTGGTAGTTCTGGTTGTCTGTGAGAGAGAATGCTGGACATTGTTTTCTGTTATCCAGTTTGATCCCGACACTGTGTCATCATCCAGGTGCTGGGGAGAGAAAAGATCACCTGAAACCGTGCTATTAAATGAAACACTGAATAACGGATGTGTTGTCAGGAAACGATCCCAAGAACTGGGCTTTGCTTACAGAGCTTTGAAGCTGACCAAATGAAGCAACTTTTCTAGAAGACACAAATCTATCACTTTGACCATGGGCTTTCTATGGAAACAAGTAGGCAACCTGTGATTACCCTGCTCTGGCAAAGAGGCTTTTATATAAATCAGGCCTAACATCTTCTGCGGCAGTATTTTGGCTACCGTGTACTCTGTAAACATCAGCAGCGTGAAAAAAATTACAAAAGGTCGTATGATTAAATGGTAAATTGTAACTCATGTTTAACCTTGTTACCGTAGTAACATTTTAGTCTTCCAGCACAACGAGGTCTAATAGCTGCCCAATATAAGGCAAGGAAACAGGGTTTCTCTGAAGCATTACACTGCAGATGAATCTGATGCACCCCCTGCACACGCCTTCTGGAGAAGTCTGGTGCATGTAGCAGCTGCGGTCATTTATCTGGTCACACTCACATCGCTTCTTATTATCTGAAATGTGGGTCTCTCTGTAATGTACAGATAGAAAGGAATGGAAGAAAAGAAAGGAATGCTTCGGGGGCAATGAAATCACGAACTGGCGGGCATGTAAAATAGTCTAGGACAAGCTAGGACTACGCAGGAAAAAAAATAATTATTTGTTTAAGGTTTTAAATTCTATATAAAGCTTCTTCTAGAGCCAAATGAAACACAACCAGAGCATCCCCTAATCCACACAAGAGTTTAAAAATCAAAATAGTTAAACACAATGCTAGACTAAGAGAGGAGGCTCCTGCTGTCATTTGGGATCAGCATCCAAAACTGCATTTTTATGCAAATGACTGCAGAGATACCATCTTCTTCATGACATGGCACAATGTTGCAGTTTGCATTAGAGAAATATACAAAATTAGCACAGTCAGATTCCAGAGCTTTCTGTGAGATTTCTAATCAGCAAATCCAAACTTACACCTCAAGTATGCACAAAATGAGAAGTTAATGAGTACTTAATTATCAGGTGTATATTGCAGAACTCATCCATACTCGTATTTCATAGAGAAGTAAAATACATCAAATCATTCTTCAAGCAAAGATTAAAATTATACAACGTACCATCGACATGGCATCAGAGAATATTCTAGTTTAGATTTGAGAGATTGCTAAAAAATTAAAACTAGGCTATTTGAAATTTTTAGAAAGATCATTGTACTTAATCAATATCCTACTGTTTTCCTTTCACTTCCTCCATAATTAACGACTCAGTAATGTACTAAAATTCCCAGCACTTGCATTGAAGTCTTATTTACTGTTATAAACCTTTCTTAGTTCATTAAAATATCACCTAGAGTACATGTATATAGTAAGTAGTTTCCCCCCTTACATTTTATTTGAATTTGCCACTATATTAAAGTCACTTGTACAACACAGAGATTCACTATATTTTTTTAGAAAAAAGGCAAACCTAACAAGCAATAGAAACGCACAGGCTTTTGAAGCCTGTTACACAGAAGCTGGTTTTGATCAGCTTAAGAGGAAGAGGATAATGAGCACACTAGGATGTAGGATGGATACACAGAATCTCCTCTGTTTGATATCCATGTTAACCACAAAATGTGAAATTGTAAATTGTTACATTTTAACTATAAAATGTAAATTGCCAGGTACCCATAGATACACAAAATTTTATTATTGCAATAGAAGCTTCTGCTTCTGTTTTAACATTTCCACCCAGGATTTAACAAATTTTCCCTGCAGGCCATCTGAGGTAATTCATAATTGTTTCTATTTTTCATCACAGCAGGCAAAAATGCAAACCTATCACTGCACCTTGTTTTTATTAATCCAGTAAATTTCAGGCAAAGCTGAGAATGAATCTCAGGCACAGTTCTACTTTAAATCTTGCCTACGTACATTCTTGAATTAAGCCAAGTTTCTATTTTTGGATACCTTCACAACTTCTTCCTTTCACTTGCTTATGCATATACATAAACCAGAAAATATTGCATGGAAATATTTTTAAAAGTTAGCTGTATAGTTTGATGCATTCAACATGCTGGCAACCATATCTCAGTCAGCAAAATATTCAAGCATTTTCCCAAGGAGAGGTGGAGAATACGCGTGTTCAGTGTAAGCTCTCAAGAGAAAGTGTCTGTATTTCAGTGGGTTCTTCAACGGCTGGTACTTCAAGGAGTGGGAGCCATTGGGAAAAAAATCCTTCCAAATGAAGAAGAGAGATGGCTATCTAGGAAGGCCTTAAAAACAGACCTATGAGTATTTTTAACCTTTTATAAATTTCTTCAGGGTTTTTAACCCAGTCTTTCTGTCAGAGATGTAGATGATGTCGTTTACAGCATAGCTAGCCTTTCTGAAGTCCTTCCAAGGGCATACCTGTATCTTCCAACAGAAAAGGGTGCAGAGAACACCAAGCCAACAAACTCCGACCTTCAGAAAACAGAGCAGAGAACATAGTTCGATGTCTCTAAAGCAGCCTGTTACCCAACAATGAACGGGTTAAAACTTTTGTAAGCATTTCATGAAGGGTCTAGTAAGCTGTTTGCACATACCTAAGGAACATAACAAAATGACCATCCTTGAAGCTACCAGAAGTGATCAGCAGGGAGGCTCTTTATAAAGAACTGTCTGCCCTTGAAGGGAACATCCCAGAAAATGTATAAACTTTGTTCTCATGTTTTTCCGAGCCATGAACACACGCAGCAGCGACTTGGGAAAAGGTAATTCCGGCCGGGGGAGATGGTGACCAGCGACTCACTCACGGACCACCTGCCCTAAACATGCCCCAGAGCCAAAAGAAAGGGGCGGAGGGAGAGAACTGAGCGTTGGAAGTAATTTACATGTAAAGCGAGAGAGAATTAACCCCTTGTTTAAGAGAATAACAATGAATGTGTAAAAACGTTATGAATATGCATGATTGGAGAGTATAACTAATTTTCTGTCCAGGGGCCAGGTGTGCGTGCCAGGAGGAGATGCTCCTGTGCACGCGGCGCTGCAATGAAGAAGGCCGCTTGCCAACACTGCAAACTGTGTTAGAGAGTTTCTGTCCGGATTTTCGGTGACAAGTCTGCCTACGCAGCCTTTTTAGCAAAGCACCAGGTCAAAGCTCTTCACCTGTATGCAGCTGAAGTCCTGGAAAAGCATTGTCACTTCAATTCCAGCATCTCCAGGTTACGACCCATTAAGCAGAATAGATCATACCACAAATACTTCCTCAGTCACTCTTCAAGGGGAAAGAAAAAAAAAATCTCTATGAAGGTGAAACCAGAGCTTCTTCGACACCCTGAAGGACCATTCTTTTGGTAACATCCTTGTTGATCTTCACAGCTTTCTCCCAAGCCCAAACAGGACCATGTATTATTGCAGAATTACAAGCTTATGTGTAAAAGTAAACTACATGTACGCTCTTCACAGGAGAAAATATTACAGAGGTTCCATCTTCCAGTTAAGGTGGGGAAAGCTTCATACCGAAGATCTTTGGAATAGAAAAGCTTTCCAAACCATCTTCCTTTCTTAAGTGCTTCCCAGACTCCTCTCCAAGGCAGTGCTCAAGCTCTCCTATCCCTGTGGATACACATGGCTTGCCCTGAGGCAGATCCATAGCTTAGTCTGACTCCACTCCATTCCCTACCCTCTCTTTCACTGGCATTTCCAAATCTCTCTGGCTCCTCTATGTTAAGAGGTCATAGTGAGCCCATGCGGAACTGTGAGCTCTCTACTCTAGTTAGCAGCCAAAATAAAAATTCTTTAAGTAGGTCAGACAAAGAGCATTTCTCAAGAAACCTCTTCCTTTATCTTATGACACAGATTCTTTTAGCTTTTAACACAATCTCCACACTGAATAACACTTGCCCTGCTTTGCCTATGCCCATTTATATTCCATTCAAGGTGTCTTAATTTTGAATGCAGTTTCCGAGGTGGGGTTTTTGTTGGTTCATTTGCTGAGTTTGTTTGCGGCTTTTTTTTAATTGGGGGGAGTGGTGTTGGGTTTTCGTTCGGGCTTTTTTAATTATTTTTTTTCAATTTGCTGTGTTCTGAAGCTAACCAGAACCCAAATGGGATCGCAAAGTAATTTAATATATGTCTGCCAAGTAACACAGGCAGAACAGAATGGATTACATGTCTATTACGCACAAACAAATCCACAAGCTGTTCCTGGTTCATGAAAGATGTCATAAAAAGGAAAAAACGAAGCTGTATTTTCAGGAGAAGAAATTAAAGTTTCAGCTCAACTACTCAACTTTTAGCATTCTCACTGCCAACTAAGCAAAAATTAGATGTAACATACAGCCCCACCCAGGCAATCACGCTCTAGATATTCTAGAAGGGTCACAGGGAACTTGGTGCAAGGAACACTTCTCCTCAGTTACACGCAATAATGCTGGTGGCTGATAAAAAACATTGAGTATTTCAATTGCTGCTGGAAAGGCGGAACTCCGACTCAAAGCCCAGTACCTTCCACTAGCTGTAACTCTTAGCTTGACCTTGTACACTTAGAACACTTGCTGTAACCCTGCACAGGTCACTAACATTAGAGCAGGAAACATCCCTGGAGATCCCCAGGTGACAGACATGGAGGGGAGAGCAGTTCCAGTTTGCCCCATAGAGAGTCTTTATTTATGCAGTGGACAATACTTGAAACTGAACAAATACCAATTACTGAAAGGTCAGTCATCTTATTTTCAGTAATTTTACACTCCAAGTACTTTATCCCTATTTGTTGCCTACGACAGGCATGAGATCAGTTCACTGTCTTTACTGTCTCACCACGCTGAGTGGGTGCTAAGTTACTCTAAATGTCAAAGTCAATCCTAAAAAGCCATCACCTGTCAGACAAATGTTCCAGCAACAACCTGAACAAGACGACACAGTTACCTTTTGTAGGCCCGCGCAATTTAGCGGCAAGAATAAAAAACTTACATAGTTGTTCTGCTCAGTTTCAGCTGTCTGATTCCACACACCATTCCTTCATCCTTCCAAGAAACTTCCACTTCTTTTCCAAGTGCTTTTAAACAAAAGACTGCTCACAACCAATTTTGAAGTGGTTCTGTCACTCTAAAGGCAATTGGTAGAAATCTACAAACTCTCCTGTATCCTAAAGGCATGATGTCACTCCTTGGCAACAACCTGACACTTTGTGGAAAAGTATTAAACATTTTATCTGTCTGGCTGTGTTTGCATAAATAAAAAATAAAATAAAAATACAGGTTTTTTTCGGTACTATAATGTAGTAGTCAGCTGTGGACCTCAAGGAAGGAGTTACTCCATACTAAAAAGCAAATTAAACAATAAGCAGGCTATCAAATATTTTGTGGACAACTTGATTTTTTTTTTTTTAAAATATAAGGTAAGAAAAGGAAAATTCTTGACATGAGTAGGACTGCTGAGACCGTATCATTGGTAGCTTAAAAATTCAAGAGGGAAGATTCCAACATGAAAAAGTATAAAATCCTAAAGAGAAAAAGCAGGGGAGCTAGCTGAGGGCTAGTTGATAACTGCCTTAGCTCTTTAGCCAGCTAGATTAGATGATTTGGGGATGAGAAGTGTGTCTGATGTATTTACAAACACATTTTCAACAGTAACCAACAATAAGCCCTCCTTCCAGAGCCTGAATTTGGTTTCATATATTCTGTGAAAGCTTTCTAAAACTTTTTCTGGCTCTGATCTCTGACTGAAAAGAATCGGCATAGATACCTATACTAGATTGCCTGGAAAGCTATCTAGTCTCAGAGACAAATACCAGAGCAGGTCCATTCAGAAAAGTCAAGACAATAAAAGGCATGTTACTGCATAAAGATTTACCAGCAACACAATACTTAACTGAGTTTGGAATATCAGACACGTAAAGGTCAACAAAGCCATGGAGATACTTATAATGAATAGTGGCAAGAAAAAGCACAGAGTGAACACCCATCCTGCATTCTTCGTTTCACTCTTGAAGCTCTGCTAGAGCCCTCTTCTCTAAGAAAAGTAATTTTAAAAAAAGAAAGAAAATAGTCTAAGATTCAAAATACTGAAACTGTTCTTCATGCAATGTTCTAGGCAAAAAAAAAAAAAAAACACAGAAAGAGACAACAAAAGAAAAGCTACCTTCTGTGTTACACAAAAAAGATCATGCTAACTCAAATCAAAGGCCCATCAAAGAAAGTATTTTGATTTCCAGTGGTTTCCAACAGCAGGTGTATAGGAAAAGAATACAGGCCCAACATGTTGTGAGACTTCCTCCTGAAGATTTAATCCAGTTTCTAGCACTTTACGGCTTAGAGACTTCTTCAACACTAAGGTTGACATCTTTAAGATTTAGTATCCCCTAATGGATTAATCTTCTATTAATTCATCCAGATATTTGAATATATGCTTTTATCAGCTACACAGTCTTACCGCAAGGACTTCTGCAGCTTTGCTGCAATCCATAAAAAACCATTCCTGCTTCCTTTGAATTTGGCATCTGCAGTTTTATTTAATGTCTCCACTAGTACTGGAATAGGTAACAAACATTCATTCTTTAGTTATTGATCCTATGCTACTTGTGATTTTAAACCTCTCAAACATCTTTCTTGCCTTTATCTGAACCTCTTTCAATTCAACTACATCTTTTTTGGGAGTGAGAGGGGATTTTACAGCCCCTCTTTTCATCATTTCATTTGGGCATCACTAGCCAGGAGAAAAAAAGACTCTGCAAGCAGGATACACACAACTTAAAAGCATAAAGCAATTATCGGTTGGCTAACATGCATAAAAGATGTCTAGAATTTAACGAGGTATTAGGCTAAGCATTATTATGCTCTCCCACCAAATGCCACACTGGATAGTCTGGCCAGGCAGGTGGCCAACAGGCAGGGTCAGCCTCCAAGGCTCCCTGGAACAGATGTTCAGTCATTTTATCTGTCTTTACTTTAGTCTGAGGTTACTGACTAATGTAGTTTGAAAGCACCTCTGCACTAAAGCGGTAAGTAAAATAAAGAAATATGCAAGTCAGACACAGCAGAGGGGAAAAAGGAAAAGGCAAAGAAAAGTTGCATCAGTACAGACTAGCTAACAGCTCTGCAGAAAAAGACTTAGGGAATTCTGGCGGACCATGCATCAACAGCACAGCGTTGTGGCAATGAATTCCAAAGAGCATAACCAGCCGATTGAGCTAAGTGATAATCTCCCCCAACTTGACCTTGGGGAAGCCATATCTAGAACACTGTGTCTGGTTTTTGGACACCCCATAACAGATTCAAATCAGAGAGACCAGCTAAGAACCCCTGAGATGATTAGTGATTAGGGGACTGGAGCGCATGACCGAAAGGAGACACTAAGGGAACTAAGTCTGCAGAAGACAGAGAGGGGATCTAACTGCAGTCTTTCTCTACCTAAACTCGAGGTTTAGGAGGAGCTGGAGTCAGAAGTACATGCTAAAAGGACAAGAGGCAACTTCCACCCGCATATAAGAAAAACATTCTTCCCTATGAGAGGGTGCAGCACCGCAACAGGCTGCCCAGGCAGATTGTGAAAACCTGACCATCCTTGAAGACTGTCAAAACTCAACTCAATGGTATGCTGCACAATCCAAGCTAATTTCAAAATTAACCCTTTGAGGAGGGTGTCGGATTAAACACCTCCAGACATCCCTTCCACTCTGAACTGTCTGTGATTCCAAGTTGTAGCTAAATGCTGTCAGTCACAATTCTAACCTCACACTCAAAGAGGAATAATGTTGCTCAAGGCATCTTGAAGAAGAAACAAGCCCCACTTACCTCTAACTGAAAAAAATTATGGACCAGCACCACAATAGCCAGGACTGCCATAAGCAGGCAGAATATTTGCAATCTGAACGAGTCACGCCACATTGTCCATTCATGTCTTTCCCTCCCATGTTAGGCGCTGCCATGACTTCCATTCCCCAAAAACATGAACATCATTTCGCCTCAGTAGTCTACAAGAGAATTCAGTTGACTTCCTCTTCATTCCTGCAAGTGTATTTACAAAAATTACATTAAGCTCCCAAAATATTGTCAGAAGTAAAGTTGAGTTTAATCCTGAAAGCACATAAGCTTCTCACGGCAGCAACTGGTGCAATAGAACCATTAGGACGAGACCGATTTTTGTGGCATTAATCTGAACAGTAGTACCTATTATGTTACTTAATCCTCTTGGGCACATCAAGGCAAAATCTTGTTATAGAGCCAGTCTCACCTGTATTCGATACAAAAATAAAGCACGAGAAAAGTGCAAGACTTGTTTCTGACAGCCAATAAAAACAAAACAACCAACCACCTCCCTGTTTATCCATTAGGCCACATTATCACCATCCAGCTTTCATGAGCCCAAGATTTCTAGCAAAAACCTGTGGTTTAGTCATCTCCCTATTTACCTGATTAGAGATTCCAGTAAGTTGTCATCAAAGGCTAAGGTCTGAAGGAAGTCTGGATAAGCAGGATAAAAGATACTTTGTCCAGTTTTCTGCTGTGGAGAGGGGAAAAAAAAATAGCTGTAACACCTATCAGTTAAACAGGAGATATCTAACAGAGTTGAATGCTCTAAAATGGAACTTCAGAAATCTTCTGTAACAGTAGACTACATCCTCCTGTTGTCGTTTTTGTGTTGGTATTTTTTTTTTTTCATTCTTTTTACATCATGTATTCTTATGCAGCTCTAATCATAAAAAAAGTAAACTTCTGGGAAGAATACAAGGTGTTGAGTTTTGGTGTTGTTATTTGTGACTTTTTAAAAAAAACATAATAATAGTGATGTTTTTAATAAAATTTAACTTTCATAAAATATATTGTTTCTGTGAGGTTGCTTGATAGCTGATCTGTTATAAAATCATGGACTTAATCTTTGATAAATGGTTCTCACAGCTTAATGCTTGTTCAGTTTGACTCTTCTATCTTCCTTCTTTCTTAGAAGGAAAATTTTGAGGCAGTCATTTTGCAAGCAAAAAGGGTACCGTTCTTGCAGAAGGAGAAGCTCTAAACTTGGAAACAGACAACAGATGGCTCAGAGAGACAGTCAAAAGACACCAGTCTTCAAACTTAATATTCTCAAAGCAGCGTTACTCATACAACCATCCACCAAGTGCAACAACATAATTAAATCATTAGATAAACTTTGTATGGCTTCCTATAAATAGTATAACTATTATAGGAAGTTATACTATTCATTAAGACTATGTGAAGAACGCTGTGTAAATTTAAATTAAACATAATGATACACTAAATATCAAAATTAGTTAATTAAATCATTCTTTAAATGAACATAGACTAGAAAACTGAAATATATTACTGGGATAACCAGGACAGTCTCAAAATAGACCGCACATGAAATTGCTTTACAAGGATTACAGGGATTATAACTTCAAATGCTTTGCTGAGAATTACAGAGATTATATTTCTGACTGATGAACAAGCATTGAAAAAGCAAGACATCCATCAGAGTATCGAAGTGACAAAACGCGACAAAAACGCAGCTCTGTTGGAACAGTTCTGCACTAATATAAAGTATTAAATTTGTATGAAATATCAACTTGGGTTTTAAACAGTAGCTGATAATGAATATACCTAAATACATTAAAATGCTAATTTAAGGCCATATATGCCCATTTGAGGAGCAAAACCAAACACACTGGAGAAAAAGGGAATTTCTAATTTTGCTGCTGACAATTCTCTTGAAATCACTGAAAACCACAAGATACTGAAGATTAACAGAATGTAATTGCATACACCTAAGAAGGCGACGGAGGCTACTCCCACGTATTTTTATTCAAAAGTTTTTGTTCTAAATTTTCTGTATTTCTGTACGTCACATGTTCTAAAACATTCAAATGTACAGGTTTAGAGCTTTCTTTATACTAAAGGCCTTAACATACTTCAAGTTTCATCATCCCTGAATAATTGATCTAGTTCATTTTTTATATAACGGAAGCACATAAGCGTGCCAAAAAGTCTTAGATTCTTACCCTATTCTTGGAGCATTCTCTGAAGCCATCCATGCAAAAGGCCAAAAATAACCTTGGAAACAACACAGGGGGAAAAAAAAAAAGCATATGTGTGTATATATATATATATATACATACATGTACACAATTTTTTTTTAAATAAAATCTCATATATTGGTGGTTTGCTTGCAACGACACAAAATAGCATGGCAGTTAAGACTCTTTACCTGTAAAATTAATTTTGTGTCTACAATAATCCCGGGATTTTTTTGAAAAAGCATTTTAATTCTTCTTAACTTCAGTCCTATACCTTTGAATTTTCTGCTATTTATTTTTAAGTATTACTCCTCTCAGCTTTGTTCTGTGTTATTACACATCCCATTTTGGCCAAGGTTAAAAAAAACCAAAAACAACAAAACAAAATTAAAAAAAACAGCTCAGTGACATTTTTTGACCAGTCTTCAAACTCTATTACAGGATGGTTGGTTTGTTTGTTCAAATCATTTAATATTAATACTAAATAAGTTCCCTACCCCTACACTCCTGGGAGCCAGCAGCGTTACCAAGGCACGGAATAGCGCAACTGCTCCCAAGAACCGCCAGGCAGATCCCTAAGAGGAGAGCCGCTAACTCTGGCGACGGCAAAACCACCCATTCCATCGAGGCGTCAGGATTCGAGGCTGGACGCCCGCC